TAATAAGAAACAGTACAATCACTATGGCCTCTTGTGGCAGTAAATACCAAAACGGCGCCCATTAGTTCATTTGACTATACATGTTTTTCTTGAAATTCTGTGTATTGTTTTTATTTTTTTGTATAAAGGAATTAGCTAATGAGTTTACACGTATTCCTCTTGAAAATGGTTTTCACGCAATTCAGGCATGGGCCTTATTACATTAACATGATTAAAAGTAATTAGTCAGATAACAATTACTTTGACTTTCACTTCAATTAAATTACAGGAACTAAAACATTTAATTAATTGGTTTATAATTACTTTACAAAAAATGAAATTAATTAATTACAGAATTACAGTTAAGTACAATTACTTTTTGTTCAATTACTCCGATCCCAGTCATGTATGAATTTATAGAGTGAAGGTGTGTGGTGGGGGGCAGGGGATAGATTCTGTGAGATTTCTCATGTTTCCTATAGATATGCTGTATATGCTTACATAAATTGAAGAAAAATTATTTTAAGGGGAGACCTATGTCCGAAAAGTCTTTGTGTGAAATTTTCAAGACGTTGACATTTCCTTCCTGACCACTTCCTCTTAATTTTTAAGTATTAAAAACAATACCTTTATTTGCTTATTTTTACACAAAAGCACGTACAAAAACAGTGTGAAATGCTAAAAATAGATTATTTTCAGACATTAATGTTTTACTCAAAATATGCGCCAAAAAGCACCAAAAATGTCAATGACATTCTTAATCAACAGTTATTTCATTTATATGACTTGTATTGTCGCGGATATATTCTGGAATTCGGAGAATCGGCCATGAAAAATCTGAATTTATGTTGAACTTCTTCAGTCAATTAACCTGTACCTGATTTATTCGACTTCAATTCTCTAACTTTCTTATTTTAGTGAATTCTTAGCATCAATTGGATAATCTAATCTGCGCATTAACATTTTAGTATAGTTGTGTATCTAATATTGCAATGGCAGTGAATAAAAGAGTATTTGCTACCTGATGTCTAACGAAATACGCGTGGACGGGTTATCTTCTTGATCCCAGGGGGACATGTCAATCGCATCATCTCGGGTCTTCCCGTCAGAGGTCGGAAAAACAACCTCGAATGTATTAACATCACCGGATGTTAAAAATTTATACATTTCCTGTTTATTCAAATATAGGATAGACGGAGTTAGAAGTCCCTTCTATGACAAAATTTAGATAATATCATTACATTGAATAAAGTTAAACTCCATATTCTACAAATAAAAGGTCTCCATGCATTTATTTCCAAGATCGTGAAAAAGGAGGGTTGTCATGGCGGCTACCATATACATTCGAGGTCGTTTTTCCGCTAGTCGGAAAGGCCCGAGAAGTTGCGATTGGGGGACATGTAACACATTGGGTCTAATTAGATATGGGGAGTGCCGAGCACGCGGTTAGGGGAGAACAAAGAAGGCTGTTGAGATAGGCAGACGTACTTAGGTGTATGCAGGCATAGTTAGATTGAGTGTACGTACATGGGTACTTGAGTTAAACATAAATAACAGTACATTTTTTGTTTATATTTTAAAATGAAAGGGAAGTTACTGCTCGTCAGATTCTCAAATTGGGGCCTCATATAGGGTTTTCAATTGAAAAATGAAGGAATAGTCATCAATGAAGCATGGACATGAAGTATTTAAATTTTCTAGATATGAAAATAAATAAATAAACTATTAAATGATTTCATTATCGAATTAGAGGGCGATTTATTACCAATTCAGGGCCCATGAAAAAAACCCAAACATTTTTCATGTTAATTATACAGATAAACAAGACACTAGAATACAACATATAATGTACATGTATAATGGAAAACAATTCTTTGATTAAGTACATAAATTGGTAGTATCTAAATTAATTATCATGTCTATGCAAATGTTGTTTTATTATTTTAATTATATCTATAATGTGTAATTATTCCTGGAGGAAAAATGAATTTTCAGAATCTACAATTTTATTAAAATTCAAAATCTGAGATGACTAATTGACTTTTGCGAAAACCAAAAAATTAAATAAATAAATAAAAATTAAAACAAAGCAAAAAAACCAAAACAAAACAAAACAAATAAATAAACAAAACAAACAAACCCCAAAAAACGAAAAGCAAATAAAAAACACAAGATTTTTTTTTAACTGAACCAAGCTAGGGTACTGCTATACCAAATGTACCTATACCTATGTTCTATATTTCCTAGTATCTAACTATTACGAGTATTAGACAATAGGGTTGTTGGACTGTTTTGTCCTGTTTATTAGTTTTGTTGATTCGTGGCCTTTGAAGGGTGCTGGAATCTGGGGGTCATACTAGTTAAGTGTATGACTGTCGCTTTACGGTGTTTGTAAAGTGTGGGACCCTGTGTTTTGTTATATTGTGCCTGTCTGTGCGGTAGAGCACTAGTTTGGTTTTTGTCTGCTGTTTCGTTGCCTTAGTATGATTTCTTAGCATGTTTTGTAAATACGTTGAATATATTTAGTCTGTATATACGTTGCGCATATTTGTATATTTTGGCAGCGCACTTTAGTCATAGTTTTATCCCCAAGGTCTGATTCTTATCAGACCCGATCCCTGGTTGTTGTAGGGAGGTCGGTTTGGCTCTAATCTGTTCCCCTACACGTTACATAAATTGGTGGCAGCGGTGGGATTTAGGGATTGTCCATTAGAACTATTTGAGATAAAGAGAAAATCATTTTTGTTACATATTATTGAAGTGCAGCTATGGATGAATTAGAGAAAGAAATCACATTTATCGATAAGAAGTTGAATGAGCTAAGAAATCGTAGTCTCGAAGTGACGAGTGGGTTTGACCATTCGACCCCTAAGGAAGTACTTAACCCCAAGGCGAGTTCATTTGACTCAGGAATGGAGACGGCGCGACCGTCAATGTTTTCAAGAAAATGTTCATCTTTGTTGCATGAAACTCCTAAAATAGAGAGACATCACCCTACCTCAGACACTTTTTCGGGTGCAAGGCCTAAAGAAAATATCGGTATTCCTAATCATAGACAAAGCTTTAGCCTACCAGACGATGATGACTATTTTCGTCTGATATTACTATGAGAAAACCTTCAAGAGTACGGTTTTCGTCACCGACACGTTTAAGCGCCAGAGAAAAACCTCCTAAGGCAGCTTCTGTAGCCATGAAGCCTGCTACATATGATGGAACAATAGCATGACAAGACTACCGCAGTCACTTTGAAGCGTGTGCCCAAATAAACGGCTGGAACGAGGAAAGTAAAGGTACCTACCTTGCTGTTTCATTGCGTGGTAATGCCCTGGGTGTCTTGGGGAATCTTCCCAGAGGAAGAACTCCAGAATATGAAGAGTTGGTGCGTGTTTTGGAAGAGAGGTTTGCTCCACCAAGTCAGACCGAATTATATAGAGTACAGATGAGAGAGCGACGGCAGAAACCAGGGGAAACTTTGTCAGAACTAGGTCAGGCTATTCGGAGACTTGCAAACCTTGCGTACCCAACAGCAGACGCCGAGATAAGAGAGACTCTTTCTAAAGATCAATTTATTGACGGGCTTGTTGATTCCGAGATGCGGATACGAATAAAGCAAGCTAGGCCAGCAAATTTAAATAAGACAATAAGGTTAGCTGTAGAGTTAGAGGCATATAACAGGGCAGAGCGTAAAAGCCATCTGCGGAGTGCGACCCCTGAAGTTTGCAATAAAGTGTTTGAACATAAAGAAGGTGACTTTATATCTCTGATAACGAAGCTCTCTGACAAGTTCGAGAAGCTTTCTAAAGATGTAGAAGAAATAAAACAAAGAAGATCTCCATCTTCCCCTGTTTGGAGTAAGGGTGGTTACAAAAAAGGGGATGAGGTGTATGTTTTCCTTCCTCGAAGAAAGGTGGGCCATTCCCCAAAATTTACGAGCTTTTGGAGGGGCCCATTCACAATCGGTTCAAAGAAATCAGATCTATTGTACGAAGTCAACTGTGGGTATAAGGAACAGTCGCAGATAATACATGCCGACAGGTTGCGACTGCTTAAACCTCAGATTTTGGCAGATGAAGTCGTTGTAGACAATGAAGAAGATGAGGTTGAATCGTTCAACACCCAGGATTTGGTAGATACACATAGTGAGGGACAAGATGCAGTATCTGACAAGAGGATTAGAAAACAACCCATCTGGCTTAAAGACTATGTCCAGTGAACATATTTGTGAGGGGAGGGCTGATATGTATATTAATGTAGAGGTATAGATTAATGTAAATAGAGCATAATATATGTGTATTGGTTGATAAAAAAAGAAGAAAAAAATAATTAAATGTAAACTACTTATGCGAGGACGCATAAAACTAAGAAGGGGGTAATGTCGCGGATGTATTCCGGAATTCGGAAAATCGGCCATGAAAAATCTGAATTTATGTTGAACTTCTTCAGTCAATTAACCTGTACCTGATTTATTCGACTTCAATTCTCTAACTTTCTTATTTTAGTGAATTCTTAGCATCAATTGGATAATCTAATCTGTGCATTAACATTTTAGTATAGTTGTGTATCTAATATTGCAATGGCAGTGAATAAAAAAGTATTTGCTACCTGTTGTCTAACGAAATACGCGTGGACGGGTTATCTTCTTGATCCCAGGGGGACATGTAACACATTGGGTCTAATTAGATATGGGGAGTGCCGAGCACGCGGTTAGGGGAGAACAAAGAAGGCTGTTGAGATAGGCAGACGTACTTAGGTGTATGCAGGCATAGTTAGATTGAGTGTACGTACGAGGGTCATTCAAAAAGTTCGTAGACAATGGCGCTTTTGGCAGTATTTCTTTTTAAAAATTCATGATCAACACATTATTATGTTTAGAAACATTTATTTTACCTATGTACAAAATTTTATTCAATTTGAATAAATGGTACTAGCGTTATTCAATTTTAAAATCGTCTTGTTTTGTCTGCACGGAGCACTCTCAACGACATTGTAACGACAAATTCATAACGTCATCACGTCGTATTTTACAGTTTTTCAAAATACTCCCCTCTGCATTTCACACACAATCTGTGGCGTCTAACCCACTCACTGAATGTATCTCTATACCATTTGTCATCGAATCTACTGACAATTGTTCGAGTTGCATAAGATTGTTCTTCTGTGTTTTTAAACTTTTTGCCACGTAACTCGGCTTTCATGGTAGGGAAAACCTTGAAATCCATCGGCGCTAGGTCAGGACTGTAAGGTGCGTGAATCACACGTAAATCCAACTCCAGCATAGTGGTATCAGCGCGGTGGGCAGGAGCGTTGTCTTGATGAAGAAGGAACTCTTCTATCTGCTTGTCAGGCCGTTTCTTACGAATGGCATTTACAAGATACCGCCGAATCACCTTTTTTAAAAGAGAATGAAGACTTCACCATTTTTTTTATTGTCTATAATAATTATTTGAAATGCAACTTTGATTTACATTTATTCGATCAAATACCCGGTAAATAATCTTTATAATGGTATTTTAAACGTTATTAAGAAATTATAAATTCATTATCACATGCTGAAAAACTACTTTAATATTTATTTTAAAAATATGTACAAGAAATAAAGAAACGGTTATTACCTGTGCGTAGTATTCTGCATTGACTGTTTGTCCCTCGGGTACTGCATGCACAAGTAGCATACCACGGATATCCATGAAAAATATAAACATATTCTTCCTAGCAGATTTTCTTACTTTAGCTTTGAGGGGAGGTGGAGATGATTTTCGCTTCCATGCTGAGGATTGTTGTTTTGTTTCAGGATCATAATGAAACAGCCACGTTTCGTCAGTTGTTACTATTCTTTGAAGAAAGTTGTCTTCATTCGAATACCGCCTTAAGAATGCCCGAGAGAGTTGCAATCTTTTTGTTTTGTCTTCATCAGTCAGGAGTTTGGGTATCCAGCGCGCCGAAACTCTTTTCATATCCAAGTGTTGAGACAAAATTGTAAAAGCGGTACCAGAGCTGATATCAAACATCGACGCAAGTTCTGCAACTGTGACGCGCCCGTCACGCTCCATAACGTTACTTATTCTTTCGACCAAATTTTCACTAATAATTCGTTTCCGCCCTGCTCGCTCATCATCTAAAACAGAGTCCCTGCCCTCCAGAAACCGTCTATGCCATTTATAGACAAACGCACGGCTCACTTTTGACTTACTTCCTGCCTTTTTCAACATTTCCACAGTTTGGTGTTTTTCCAAGAGCAACACAATATTTTATAGCAACTCGCTGCTCCGTGACGTCGTGCAAAGTCATTATTTTTGGCCTTTTTCGATGCGGACTATGAGTCTTCTTTAATCAATTTTTATTCAACGAAGCACTATATTACGTCAGAATTTTGCATATGAAATGACGTAACAATACCCTTTTTGAATATATAAATTTTATTAAGATTTAGCGCCATTTTTTAAAATGACGACTAATAGCATAATACCAGGAAATAATTATACATGACTAAATTTTGCCTTGCTCCGTGACCCGTTTTTTGCAGCTTCGAAATTTAATTAATTTGAAAGTATGTCGGAATATTTTAAAATATTTTAGTTTAAATTAATTGGAATAACTCTTAAAATATGTCTACCAAATTTGGATATAATATGACGTTAAATAAAAAAGTTATAATAAAAGTCTACGAACTTTTTGAATGACCCTCGTACATGGGTACTTGAGTTAGGAAGATTTCTACATTTCCTAGTATCTAACTATTACGAGTATTAGACAATAGGGTTGTTGGACTGTTTTGTCCTGTTTATTAGTTTTGTTGATTCGTGGCCTTTGAAGGGTGCTGGAATCTGGGGGTCATACTAGTTAAGTCTATGACTGTCGCTTTACGGTGTTTGTAAAGTGGGGGACCCTGTGTCTTGTTCTATTGCATCTGTCTGTGGGGTAGAGCACTGGCTTTGTTTTTCTCCGCTGTTTCGTTGGCTTAGTATTATTTCTTGGCATGTTTTGTAAATACGTTGAATATATTTAGTCTGTAAATATGTTGCGCATATTTGTATATTTTGGCAGCGCACTTTAGTCATAGTTTTATCCCTAAGGTCTGAATCTTATCAGACCCGATCCCTGGTTGTTGTAGGGAGGCCGGTTTGGCTCTAATCCGTTCCCCTACACGTTACAGTATCTTTAAAATGAAAGCAAATTCATTGTAATCCATCCCACATGAAAAATTATAAAGGAGAATATGTAAGTATTACCCCGTTTTTCTTGTCGTATTTTTTACAATTCCGACATGCATATAACAGGTAATATCTTAAAAAGTCTTTGTGTGAAAATGTTGCAATTCATATTTTCTAAAAGAAGTAGCCCCTCTTTTTATTTTAACAAAGAAAAAAGTATACCTTTATGATAAAATAAACGAGAAATATGATGTTTTCTTTTATTTTCGTACTCTTCTGTCATAAATATTGACCTTTCTGCACTTAAAAAAGGATAAGTAGGCACTGAGAAACATCTGAATATAAATCTATTTTGCAAAGAGCGAGGATTTTGTTTTGATTAGATATAATGTAAACAGATAAACTTTTTTCTTCCTTATTCTAATCATTCTGCCCCCCCCCCCCCCATTTCCCCGCAACAATCAACACCTAATAGAACCTAGGAATGACTTTATAAAAAATATCTACATATACTATAAATCAATAAGTAAATATACGTACAAGTACATTTCTTAATTATTTTTTTTTTAGTTTTATCCTGAAAATACAGTTAATGGTAAACATACAATTTAAGATTTTATCTTATATTTTTTCGCACTTTTATATCAGGATATCATAGAGATATTTCTTTACAACTGAAATTGCTATAAATTATCTACCAAAGGAAGAGGATTCTAATATTACCAAACCCTTTAAATCAAATAAAACTGTTATGAATGATGAATTTTTTTTTTGTAAACTGTGTACGTTATTGATTACTGTAATAACAGTGTTATGCCTATAATCACAGTTGCAGAAGTCAGCGGAAAAAAACAAACGTCGCTATTGTGACGTCACATAACGCGGCTTTGACGTAGAACGACATAGGTCCCCCCTTAAAAAAAACTATTGAATCATTTCGGAAGTGATTGTTTAGAGCACTGGAAGTTATTGTACGGCTAAGCTCCGTCCCCTAGAAGTTATTGTACGTTAGAGTTCAGCCAAAGGTTTTCTGTCTGATTTAAATTATGGACAACATCAAAAGAAAAAGTACCGCACCGTGACACAAGTATTGAAAGGGTGGAGATTCTGTGAGATTTCTTATGTTTCCACTAGCTCTGTTGTATAAGCTTTAAAATATTAAAAAAGTATTGAATTTGAATTTTTTCGGAAGTAATTGTTCGGTATATTAGAAGTTGTTGTATGGCTAAGCTCCGTCTCTAGAAGTTATAGTACGTTGCACTTGGAATTCAGAAAAAAACGTTTTCTATCTGATTTAATCAAAAGAAATGTACCGCATCATGACACAATTCAACCAGAATAGATTAAATGCTCCGGACGACCATATAGTATAACGGAGAAATAACGTCGGCCTGCATTGCATATGTACGCGGATAAGTTCTTTATATCAAAACCCTAAGTATTACAATACTGTGGTATTAGTTAAACTATCCCTAGTATTTTTGTAAATTATGTTTGAGATCAATGTCAAATATCTTGTAAGGCTGGAATGTGTAAAGAATATTAAATTGTATTACAAACAATGCTTAAAGAAAGGCTTGGTAGGTTTTACATTTTAACATAGTTCGATAGTTATTATAAATACGAATAAATTGATATACAGCACAGCTACTATCTCTCTTGCTGATTAGAGATATTACTAAAAATAGCTTAGTTTACACCTTTGAGCTTGCACTGAAATTAGCTGTTTACCGGAAGTGACGTTTGTGACGTCACAAGTGTTACTTTGGGCAATTACAGAATATTGTATAGTCTAAAATTAAGAGCAACTAGCATTAGGTCATGTAAAATTTTAAAATCAAACGTCTTTAACGCATACAGGCAGTACGTCAGGTTTATTTCCTGATTACTAGGCCTAATTTCATTTCTGGCAAAAACAATATAGTTCCGTACTATATGTATAAATATTGTAATTAAATGGTTTGATTACCACCCCCCTTACCCAACACCCCCAATTTTGCTTCTCCATGTTTGTTTTTACACATTTAATTTACTAAAAATTTCTTTTTTAATTCGACCATAACTTTGAAAACGCTGGTACAAGCAGCACATCCCCCCTTCTATAAAAAAAACAACGCTCATATGTTTGATCAATTACATTGCAATCAAGTGCCGGATTATTGTTTTGAAGTTCACATCATCAGTAAAGTGCAGGGTGTAGATTTTTTTTTTCAAACCTCATTAGTTCCGTATTCTTTAACAATCATAGATGGCATTCAAGCTAATTTGATATTTGGAAGCTGTGCACCCCGTTTCTTAGTGTTGACGTAGACCTACAGTGTATCTCAATATTACACTGCGATTGTATTATTTAATTACTGCTTACATGTATATTTACACTTGTGAACTCTTAATAATATTGTCTGTTGTCTTCCTTTTTTATCTCTGTAAAATAACCTTTAAAAGCCATTTCACACAAATGAAGTTCCTTTCAATACCTGTCTGTTTACTGTATATAATTGTTTTTTTTTTTCAATCAGAAATGAAAGAAATTTCGACATTTTTATTTCAAGATTTACCCACCCTGTCCTAACCTGACTATAAGAATGAAAAATTGAATAGGATTTTTCAAATTTTAACAACGTTTTTTTTCCATAAAATCCTAAAATCATCATTAATTTGTACTTTATTAATTTTTATTTATTTATTTATTTTTTTTTTGGGTGGGGGGGGGGGGTTATGTCGTACAAACATCACTCTGAGCTCCTTGGATGGCTCGTATACCTGTGTTTGAATGGAGTGTAGCGGAGTAAGCCTAGTATTGCCGATTGTGCACATTATGCATAATGATCTTTCACAAATAATTCAAACTTTTGCTTACAGCTGTCACAAGCTACCGTAAACAGCGTGTATATTGTACATTGTATATTGTTTGGATTTTCAGAAGTTATCAATCAATCAATCATTTATTTGAATCTCTTCACCATTTTACAATAGTGTACAGAGCGGACTACAAAACATATAGGTGACTTTATATACATCAATAGGTCTAAAAGGCATGCGTGAATAAGAAACTAAACAAAAACTAACAAAAAATTGAAGGTTGCTATAAATGTGAAATATGGGAATTTAGGCCGGGGAGCATATTTCATTTATTTTCTTTACAAAGGAGCACAATTTTCTAAGAAAGCAGTGTTTATTGTTATTTATAATGTTTTTAAAACTAATTATATTGATATATTGATTGACTGATTACTAAAAGAATATGAATTTAATTGATTATAATATTTAATTTTCATGTATGTAAATGTGTATCAACTTCTATATTACAGTAATATTTAGATTGGACATCTGTAAGGTACCGGTAGAATGTTAGAATGCCATCCGGGACCCTTGACTTCTTCAATAATGAATAATATATACTGCATGAAACAACGTGTAAACACGTTAATAAGGTGGCACATAAAAACAAATTAAGTTTACACTGAAAGTCGAATGTAACATCTGACTTCGAATTGATTGTGTTGCATCAAGCCTAGATATATACGTAACCTTTTTTTTTTTTTTTTAAGAGCTGAACAAATTTAATTCCTAATTATTTTAATATGAGAATAAAAACATTTTTTCTTTCTACAAAATTGTTAAACATAGAAGTTTTATCTTTTAAAATTTATACCACTGCAAGCACCGAAGTAACGCGACTTTGTTCTAAATTAATTTTAAAAATACATGCATCCAGTTTTACTGGAGGGGTGGGGTCATTTGTTAAAAAAAAACATTGCAAATCATGAAAAAAAAATGACAATGAAAAAAAAATTATTTAACTTATTAAACCACAACAAATGTAAAAAATGAACGCACAATTAAAATCAGTAGGGACTAAAGTTATTCATGTTGTCAACTGTTTAGGCCTTTAAGTTTTAAGGGGGGGGGTGTTAAATATGTAATGTGTCGAATTGTGTTTTTGTTTAATATAATTTTTAAAAGAATGATTTAAAATGCTACTTGTGAATATTTTCTTTTTTTTTCACATACCAATCAATAGTATAAACGTAAAATAGTATGCAAACGATTTGCTT